TCAGTGATCTTCCCAGTGCCCCCAGTGCCCTCCCAGTGCTCCCAGTAGGGACCAGTGACCTCCCAGTGACCTCCAGTGACCCCCCAGTGACCTCCCAGTACGGACCAGTGACCCCCAGTGACCCCCAGTGACCCCCAGTGCTCCCAGTGACCGGACCAGTGACCCCACAGTGACCTCCCAGTGTCCCCCCAGTGCTCCCAGTATGGACCAGTGCCCTCCCAGTGACCCCCAGTGACCTCCCAGTGCTCCCAGTATGGACCAGTAGGGACCAGTGACCTCCCAGTGACCTCCAATGACCTCCCAGTGACTCCCAGTGACCCCCAGTGCTCCCAGTGACTCCCAGTGACCTCCCAGTACGGACCAGTGACCTCCCAGCGCTCCCAGTAACCCCCCCAGTGACCCCCCAGTGACCCCCAGTGCTCCCAGTACAGACCAGTGACCCCCAGTGACCCCAGTGCTCCCAGTACAGACCAGTGAACCCCAGTGACCCCCAGGGACCCCAGTAACCTCCCAGTAAATTCCAACATCTCTCCAGCAACTTCCAGTGATCTTCCCAGTGCCCCCCAGTGCCCTCCCAGTGCTCCCAGTGACCCTCCCAGTGACCCCCAGTGCCCCCAGTGCTCCCAGTGACCCGAGTAATCCTCCCGGTGACCCCCCAGTGCTCCCAGTACGGACCAGTGACCTCCCAGTGCCCCCCCAGTGCTCCCAGTACGGACCAGTGACCTCCCAGTGCCCCCAGTGCTCCCAGTGACACCCCAGTGACCCCCCAGTGCTCCCAGTGCCCTCCCAGTGCTCCCAGTGCCCCCCCAGTGCTCCCAGTACGGACCAGTGCCCCCCCAGTGCTCCCAGTAACCCCTCCCAGTGCTCCCAGTAACTCTTCCTTCTCCTCTTCCACCTTTATTTGCCCCAGGGGGTCCCGGGGGTTTTGGGGAGTCTCAGGGAGGTTAGGGGTCCCCGGGGGGGGAGAAAGAGCTTGGGGGGGTCCCGAGGAGGTCTCAGAGGGCTGGGAGGTCCCGAGGGGAGGGGGTTTGGGGAGGGTCCACAGGGAATTTGGGGGTCTCAGGGGTGTTTGAGACCCCCAAGGCTCTGGGGGGTCTCGAGGGTTTTGGGGTCAGGGAGGGTTTTGGGGGTCTTGAGGGGGGTTGGGAGTTTGGGGACCCCCTCAGGGGTCGGGGGGTCTTGGGGGAGATTGGGATTGGGGACCCCTCAGGGGTTCGGGGGTCTCAGGGGGTTTGAGGGGGTCTCAGGGGGATTTGGGGGGTTTTGAGGAGGGTCTCAGGGGATTTGGGTTTGGGGACCCCCTAAAGCTCCGGGGGGTCTCGGGGGGAGTTCAGGATTTGGGGGGTCTCGGGGGTTCAGGATTTGGGGACCCCTCAGGGGGTCGGGAGTCTCAGGGGGTTTTGAGGGTCTCAGGGGGATTTGAGGGAGTCTCAGGGGGATTTAGGGGGTTTTGGGGGGTCTCAGGGGGATTTGGGGGTTTTGGAGGAGGCTCTCAGGGGATTTGGAGGGTTTTGAGGCGGTCTCAGGGGGATTTGGGTTTGGAGACCCCTAAAGCTCCGGGGGTCTCGGGAGAGTTCAGGATTTGGGGACCCCTCAGGGGTCAGGGGGTCTCAGGGGGTTCAGGATTTGGGGACCCCTCAGGGGTCCTGGGGGGTGTCAGGGGGTTTTGGGGGTTCGAGATTTGAGGGACCCTCAGGGGTCAGGGAGTCTCCGGGGGTCTCAGGGGTTCTGGGGGTCTCGGGGGGGTTCAGGATTGGGGACCCCCTCAGGGGTCAGGGGGTCTCCGGGGGGCTCGGGGGGGTTTGGGGGTCTCGAGGGGTTCAGGATTTGGGGACCCCCTCAGGGGTCAGGGAGGGTTTGAGGGGGTCTCAGGGGGTTGGGATTGGGGACCCCCTCAGGGGTCAGGGGGTCTCGAGGGGGCTCGAGGGGTCCCTCGGGCTGGAGCAGCCAGGCCCCAAGCGCTCCACGTCGTCCAAGCTGAGCCCCCTCAGGGTGGCCGCTCATAGTCCTGGGGGGGCACGGGGGTTGGGGAGACCCCAAAGTGTGGGAGACCCCCAAAATTCCCCAGGACCCCAAAATCCCCAAAATCCGCCCTGGGACCCCAAACTCCAAAATCACCCCAAAACCCCCCAAATTCCCCTCTCAGGGCCTGTTCATTGTCCTGGGGGCACAGAGAGGTTGAAGAGTCCCAAATTTAGGGGACCCCAAATCCCCCAAAATTCCTCAGGACCCCAAAATCCACCCGGGACCCCCAAACTCCAAAATCCTTGAAATCCCCGAAAAATCCACCCAACCCCCTCTCAGGGCCTGTTCATTGTCCTGGGGGGGCACGAGAGGTTGAGGAGGCCCCAAATCTGGGGTACCCAAAATCCCCCCAAATTCCTCAGGACCCCAAAATCCCCCAGGACCCCCAAACTCCCAAAATCCTTGAAATCCCCACAAAGCCCACTAACCCCCCTCTCAGGGACCCTTCACTGTCCTGGGGGGGCACAGAGAGGTTGGGAGTCCCAAGACTAGGAGACCCCAAAATCCCCCAAATTCCCAGGACCCCAAAATCCCCCAAAATCCGCCCGGGACCCCAGAACTCCAAAATCCCCAAAAATCCCACCCAACCTCCCTCAGGGCGCTGTTCATCGTCCTGGGGGGGCAGCGAAAGGCTGGAAACTCCAGGGAGACCCCAAATCCCCCAAATTCCCCAGGACCCCAAAATCCCCAGGACCCCAAAATCCCCCAAATCCGCCCGGGACCCCAAACTCCAAAATCCTTGAAATCCCCCAAACCCCCAAATTCCCTCTCAGGGCCTGTTCATTGTCCTGGGGGGCACAGAGGGGTTGGAAAGCCCCAAAATTTGGGAGACCCCCCAAATTCCCCAGGACCCCCAAAATGCTCCCCAAAATCCACCCGGGATCCCCAAACTCCCAAATCCCCAAAAACCCACCCAACCTCCCCTCTCAGGGCCTGTTCATCGTCCTGGGGGGCACGAGAGAGGTTGGGGAACCCCAAAATTTGGGAGACCCCCAAAATTCCCAGGACCCCAAAAATCCCCCAAAATCCTCCCAGGATCCCCAAACTCCAAAATCCCCCAAAAACCCCCAAATTCCTCCCTCAGGACCCCTTCACTGTCCTGGGGAGCACTGGGGGTTGAAGGAGTCCCAAATTTGGGAGACCCCCAAAATTCCCCAGGACCCCAAAAATCCCCCAAAATCCATCCCAGGACCCCCAAACTCCAAAATCCCCCAAAAACCCCCAAATTCCCCTCTCAGGGCCTGTTCACTGTCCTGGGGAGGGCACGAGGGGTGAAGTCCCCAAATCTGGGGACCCCAAAATCCCCCAAATTCCCCAGGACCCCAAAATCACCCGGGACCCCAAACTCCAAAATCCCTTGAAATCCCCAAAAACCCACCCAATCCCCCTCTCAGGGACCCTTCACTGTCCTGGGGGCACGGAGGTTGGTGGAACCCAAAATTTGGGGACCCCAAAATCCCCCAAATTCCCCAGGACCCCAAAAATCCCCCAAAATCCCCGGGACCCCAAACTCCAAATCCCCCAAAAAACCCCCAACCCCCCTCTCAGGGACCCTTCACTGTCCTGGGGGGGCACGAGGAGGTTGGAGGTCCCCAAATTTGGGAGACCCCCAAAATTCCCAGGACCCCAAAATCCCCCAAAATCCACCGGGACCCCCAAACTCCAAAATCCCCAAAAAACCCCCAACCCCCACTCAGGGCCTGTTCATTGTCCTGGGGGGGCACGAAGGGTTGAGAGGCCCCAAACTGGAGGACCCGAAATCCCCCTCAAATTCCCCAGGACCCCAAAATCCCCCGGGACCCCAAACTCCAAAATCCCCCAAAAAAACTCCCAGCCCCCACTCAGGGACCTCCACTGTCCTGGGGGGCACGAGAGTTGAGAGGCCCCAAATGCGGGGACCCCCCAAATTCCCAGGACCCCAAAAATCCCCCAAATTCCTCCAGGACCCCAAAATCGCCCGGGACCCCAAACTCCCAAATCCTTGAAATCCCCCAAAAACCCCCAGAATTCCCCCCTCTCGGGGCCTGTTCGTGTCCTGGGGGGGCACAGAGGTTGAGAGGTCCCCAAAATCTGGGAGACCCCCAAAATTCCCCAGGACCCCAAAAATCCCCCAAAATCCATCCCAGGACCCCCAAACTCCAAAATCCCCCAAAAAACCCCCAAATTCCCCTCTCAGGGCCTGTTCATTGTCCTGGGGGGCACAGAAGGTTGGAGAGTCCCCAAATTTGGGGGACCCGAAATCCCCCAAATTCCCCAGGACCCCAAAAATCCCCCCAAAATCCGCTCGGGACCCCAAACTCAAAATCCCCCAAAAAACCCCCAAATTCCCCTTAGGGCCCCTTCACTGTCCTGGGGGCACGAGAGGTTGGAGACCCCAAACTTAGGGGACCCCAAATCCCCTCCCAAATTCCCCAGGACCCCAAATCCGCCCAGGACCCCAAACTCCAAAATCCCTTGAAATCCCCCAAAACCCCCCCAGCCCCCACTCAGGGCCTGTTCATTGTCCTGGGGGGCACAGGAGGGTTGAAGACCCCAAAGCTGAGGACCCCCAAATTCCCCAGGACCCCAAAATGCTCCCCAAAATCCACCGGGACCCCCAAACTCCCAAATCCCCCAAAAACCCCCAAATTCCCCCTTAGGGCCCCTTCACTGTCCTGGGGGGCACAGAGGGTTAGAGAGGACCCCAAATTGAGGAGACCCCCAAATTCCCCAGGACCCCAAAAATCCCCCCAAAATCCCCGGACCCACAAATCCCCCAGACTTCCCTAAAATCCCCCAAATCCTCAAATCCCCCCAAACCCCCTCAGACCCCCAAATCCCCTCGGACCCCCAAAATCCCCCGGCCCCCAAATCCCCCAGCCCCCAAAATCCACCCCAAATCCCCTAGACCCCCAAAATCCCCCAACCCCCGAACCCCAAATCCCCCTCAGACCCCCAAATCCCCCCACGATCCCACAAAATCCCCCAAATCCCCCAAGATCCCCCAAATCCCCCAGACCCCCAATCCCCCAGCGCCCCCAAAATCACCCCAAATCCCCCAGACCCCCAAAATCCCCAGACCCCCAAAATCCCCCAAAACCCCCCGACCCCCAAAATCTCCCCAGCCCCCAAAATCCCCCAAATCCCCCAGTCCCCCAAAATCCCCCAGGCCCCCAAATCTCCCCAGCCCCCAAAATCCCCTCGGACCCCCAAAATCCCCCTAGACTCCCCCAAATCCCCAGGCACCCCAAATCCCCCAGACCCTCAAAATCCCCCTCAGACCTCCCAAATCCCCCTCAGACCCCCAAAATCCCCTCAGGCTCCCCAAAACTCCTTAACTCCCCCAGACCCCCAAAACCCCAACAGACCCCAAAATCCTCCAAATCCCCCAAAATCCCCCAGGCCCCCAAAATCCCCCCAGACTCCCCAAATCCCTCAAATCCCCCCAGCCCCCAAATCCCCCAGACCCCCAAATCCCCCAAATCCCCAAAATCCCCAGGCCCCCAAATCCCCCAGAACCCCCAAAATCCCCTCAGACCCCCAAATCCCCCAGGCCCCCAAATCCCCCAGAACCCCCAAAATCCCCTCGGACCCCCAAAATCCCCCAGACCCCCAAAATCTCCCTCAGACCCCCAAATCCCCCAGGCCCCCAAATCCCCCTCAGACCCCCAAAGCCCCCGATCCCCAAAATCCCCCAGACTCCCCCAAATCCTCAAATCTCCCCAGACCCCCAAAATCCCCCAAATCCCCCAAGACCCCCAAATCCCCTCAAATCTCCTCAGACTCCCCAAAATCCCCAAATCCCCGCCCCCACCTTGTGGAGCTGCTGCACCTTCTCAGGGTCCCTCCTGTTCCCGAAGTGTCTCCCAAAACCTGGGCCAGGCCGGGCCCGAAGGCGGGGTGGGGGGCAGAAGGTCCCCAAATCCTCCGGGGGTCGGCCCCTCCGCCCCCGCCCCCGCGCCCCTCCCCGGAGTGCCAGCACCAGGTTGAGCCGCGCCGAGGCCCGATGGAGTAATCGGAGGCGGCGCTCGTCTGGGGAGGGGCGGCATTGAGACCCCCAAAGAGACCCCAAAGACCCCCGACACCTCCCAAGATTGGGGACCCCGATTTTGGGACCCCGAAATAGAAGCCCCACAAGTGGGACCCCCGATCCTGGACGAAGTGATGGGAAAGATGGGGGAGGGGCGGAGTGGGGAGGGTGCGATTAGGACCCCCAAAGAGACCCCAAAGACCCCCAACACCTCCCAAGAATTGGGGACCCCGATTTTAGCACCAAATAGAAGCCCCCATAGTGGAACCCCCGATGGAGTGATGGGAAAGATGGGGAGGGTGGGATTTGGGGAGAGGCGGATTAGGACCCCCAAGAGACCCCAAGACCCCCAACACCCCCCAAAATTGGGGACCCCCGATTTTAGGACCCCGAAATAGAAGCCCCAAAGTGGGACCCCCACCCCCAGATCCTGGACGAAGTGATGGGAAAGATGGGGAGGGGCAGGAATAGGACCCTAACCCCCAAACCTCCCAGGAGCCCCCAAAATCCTTTTAACCCCCAGGACCCCCAGGACCCCCAAAATCCCCCTTTAACCCCCTAGGACCCCCAACCCCCAGGACCCCAAAATCCCTTTTAACCCCCAGGCCCCCAAAATCCCTTTTAACCCCCAAATCCCTCCTTGACCCCAGGACCCCCAAAATCCCTTTTAACCCCCAGGACCCCCAAATCCTCCCGGACCCCAAAATCCCTTTAACCCCCAGGACCCCTAAAAATCCTTTTAACCCACAGGACCTCCCAAAATCCCTATTTAAACCCCCAAATCCCCTTTAACCCCCAGGACCCCCAACCCCCAAGACCCCTAATATCCCCTTTTAACCCCCAAAATCCCTTTATTCACCCCAGGACCCCCAGGACCCCCAGGACCCCCAAAATCCACTTTTAACCCTCCAGGACCCTCAAAATCCTTTTAACCCCTAAATATCCTTTATTTAACCCCAAAATCCTTTTTAACTCCCCCAGGACCCCCAAACCACCCCAGGACCCCCAAAATCCTTTTAACCCCCAATCCTTTTAACCCTCTAGGACCCCCAAACCCCCCAGGACCCCCAAACCCTCCCCAGGACCCCCAAAATCCTTTAACCCCCCAGGACCCCCAGAACCCCCAGAATCCCCTTAACCCCCAGGACCCCCAAATTCCCTTTTAACCCCCAGGATCCCCCAAATCCCCCGGACCCCTAAACTCGCCCCCGGACCTGCCAGCGCCTTCCCCCTGTAGAGGAGCCGCTGCTGCTCCACCGGCACCTGCAGCCTCTCGGCCACCAGCACCTTCACAGCCCCCACGCGCTCCTCGGGGGACACCTGGGGGGGCACGGGGGGGTCAGAGAACCCCAAAACCCCCAAAATCACCCCCAAAAAAACAGGTCCAAAACCCCCAAAAAAACCAAAAATTCCCCCAAAACGACCCTAAAATCGCCCCCAAAAAGGAATTTTAAGGGGCCCCCCCGCTCCTCGGGGGACACCTGGGGGGGTCAGAGAACCCCAAAACCCCCCCCAAAATCACCCCGAAAAAAACGGGTCCAAAAACCCCAAAACTCTTCAAAAACGCTCCTAAAATCGACCTCAAAAAGGAGATTTAGGACCCCCCCCCGATCCTCGGGGGACACCTGGGGGGGCACGGGGGGGTCAGAGAACCCCAAAAACCCCCAAAATCACCCCGAAAAAAAACGGGTCCAAAAACCCCCCAAAAACCCCAAAACTCCTCAAAAATGCCCCTAAAATTGCCCCAAAAATGGAATTTTAAGGGCCCCCCCCGCTCCTCGGGGACACCTGGGGGGGCACGGGGGGGTCAGAGAACCCCAAAAACCACCCCAAAATCACCCTGAAAAAAACGGGTCCAAAAACCCCCAAAAAAGCCCAAAATTCCCCCAAAAACGACCCTAAAATCGTCCCCAAAAAGGAATTTTAAGGGGCCCCCCCGATCCTCGGGGGACAGGGGGGTCAGAGGACCCCAAAAAACCCCCCCAAATCACCCCAAAATCACCCCAAAAAAAATCCCGAAAAAATCGGGCTCCAAAACCCCCCAAACTCCTCAAAAATGCTCCTAAAATTGCCCCAAAAATGGAATTTTAAGTCTCCCGCTCCTCAGGGGACATTTTGGGGGGGCACGGGGGGGTCAGAGAACCCCAAAAAAACCCCAAAATCACCCCAAAAAAACCAGACCCCGAAACCCCCAAAAAACCCCCAAACTCCTCAAAAATGCCCCATAAATTGCCCCAAAAATGGAATTTTAAGGGGCCCCCCCGCGCTCCTCGGGGGACACCTGGGGGGGGCACAGGGGGGTCAGAGAACCCCAAAAAAAACCCCAAAAAACCCCCAAATCACCCTGAAAGAAACAGGTCCAAAACCCCCCCAAAAAACCCCAAAATTCATCAAAAACTCCCCAAAATCCCTCCCAAAAAGGGGATTCAGAGCCCCGCTCCTCAGGGGGCACCTGAGAGGGCACAGGGAGTCAGAGAACCCCAAAAAAACCCCAAAAATCATCCCCAAAAAAACGGGTCCAAAACCCCCAAAAACCCAAAAATTCCCCAAAACGACCCTAAAATCGCCCCCAAAATGGAATTTTAAGGCCCCCGCTCCTCGGGGTAAATTTTGGGGGTCCCGTGAAGGGAGGGGGAGAATTAAACCCCAACCCCTCCCAGGACACCCAAATTCCACCCAGGACCCACAATCCCCGGGACCCCCAAATTCCACCCAGGACCTCACAAATCCCCCAGGACCCCCAAACCCACCCGGGACCCCCAAAACCCTCCCCTTTAAACCCCTTTAAATTCCCTTTAGGACCCCCAAGCCCCCTTTAAACCCCCCCAAATCCTCTTTAACCCCTCAGAACACCCCAAACCTCTTCCAGGACCCCCAAAACCCACCCAGGACCCCCAAATCCCCAGGACCCCAAAATCCCTTTAACCCCCCCAACCCCCTTTAACCCCCACAAACTCCCCTTTAGGACCCTCCAAGCCCCCTTTAAACCCCTTTAGGACCCCTGAAATCCCTTTAAACCCCCCAAATCCTTTAAACCCCTCAGAACACCCCAAACCCCTTCCAGGACCCCCAAACCCCTCCAGGATCCCCAAATCCCCCAAGGACCCCCAAACCCCCTTTAGGACCCCCACCCCTCACCTGGAGGCTGCACTCGCGGCCCTGCAGCGCCTTCACTGTCAGCAGCATCTCCACTCTGGACCCCCCTCAAAAAACCCTCCCGGGACCCTCAGGCGCCTCTCGAGACCCCAAAAAATCCCCCAAAACCCCCAAAAACCCCAAAAACCCCCGGAACCCTCAGGACCCCCAGAGCAGCGAGGCGTGGAGGACCCGAGATAGAGAGGGCCCTCCGACCATCGAGACAGGGCCGGAGCGGCCCGGAAGTGGGCAGGGCTGGAGGCCGGCCAAGATGGCGGCGCCACGGGGAGCCTCCGACTGTATCCTCGGCACGGGGAGGGGGCCTTAAAAGAGGGTTGGGGGAGTTAAAGGGGGTTTGGGGGGTTAAAGGGGTTTGGGGGCTCCTGAGGGATTTAGAGGAGTTGGGGGTCCTGGAGCTGGGATTGGGGGTCTTGGATGGATTTGGGGGCTTTGGGGGTCCTGGGGAAGATTTGGGGGTCTTAAAGGGATTTAGGGGGTCCTGGATGAGATTTGGGGGGTCCTAAGGGGTTTGGGGAGTCCTGGGGAGATTTGGGGGTCTTAAGGGTTTTGAGGGGGTCCTGGGGGCTTTGGGGGTCCTGGGGAGTTGGGGTCTTGGGGGTTTGGGGGTCCTGGAGAGACTTTGGGGGTCTTAAATGGGGTTTGGGGGTCTTAAAAGGGTTTGGGGGTTCCTGGGGAGATTTGGGGGTTCTGGGGGCTTTGGGGGTCCTGAGGGGGTTTGAGGGGTCCTGGATGGATTTGGGGGTCCTGGGGGCTTTGGGGGTCCTAAAGGGAGTTTGGGGGGCCTAAAAGGGGTTTGGGGGCTAAAGGGGGTTAGGGGGCTCTTAAGGGAGTTTGGGGGAGGTTTGGGGGTCTTAAAGGGGATTTGGGGGTCTTAAGGGGGTTTGGGGGTTAAAGGGGTTTGGGGCTCCTGGATTAATTTGGGGGTCTTGGAGGGGTTTGGGGGTTAAAGGAGGTTTGGGGGTCCTGGGGGTTGGGGGTCCTGAAGGGGTTTGGGGGGATCCTGGAAGGGATTTGGGGGATCCTGGAAGGGATTTGGGGGATCCTGGAAGGGATTTGGAGGGTCCTTGAAGGGATTTGGGGGTCCTGGAGGAGGTTTGGGGGTTAAAGGGGTTTGGGGGTCTTAAGGGGGTTTGGGGGTCCTGGAGGGGATTTAGAGGGGAGTTGGGGGTCCTGGAGCGGGGTTGGGGTTCTTGGTTGGATTTGGGGGCTTTGGGGGTTCTGGAGGGGTTTGGGGGTCCTAAAGGGGTTTGGGGGTCTTAAAGGGGATTTAGGGGGTCCTGGATGGATTTGGGGGTTCTGGGGGGTTTGGGGGTCCTAAAGGGGTTTGGGGGGGTTAAAGGGGGTTTGGGGTCCTGGATGGATCTGGGGGTTTGGGGGTCCTGAGGGGATTTGGGGGGTCCTGAAGGATTTAGAGGGGAGTTGAGGGGTCCTGGAGCGGATTGGGGTCTTGGATGGACTTAGGGGGCTTTGGGGGTCCTGGGGAGATTTGGGGGTTCTGAAGGGGTTGGGGGTCCTGAGGGGGTTTGGGGGGCTAAAAGGGGTTTGGGGGTCCTGGAGGGATTTAAAGGGAGTTTGGGGGTCCTGGAGCGGGATTGAGGGCTCTTGGATGGATTTGGGGCTTTGGGGGTCCTGATGGATTTGGGGGCTCCTAAAGGGGTTTGGGGGTCTTAAAGGGGGTTTAGGGGTGTCAAAGGGGTTTGGGGGTCCTGGAGGGGATTTAGAGGGATTTGGGGGTCCTGGAGTCGGGGTTGGGGGTTCGGGGGTCCTAGGGGAGATTTAGGGGGTCTTAAAGGGGGTTTGGGGGTCCTGGGGAGATTTGGGGGTTCTGGGGGTTTGGGGGTCCTAAAGGGGTTTGGGGGTTAAAGGGGTTTGGGGGTCCTGGAGGATTTAGAGGGGAGTTGGGGGTCCTGGAGCGGGATTGGGGGTCTTGGATGGGTTTGGGGGGCTTTGGGGGGTTCTGGAGGGGGTTTGGGGGTCCTGGAGGAGATTTGGGGGTCTTAAAGGGATTTAGGGGGTCCTGGATGGATTTGGGGGTCCGGGAGGGGTTTGGGGGTCCTAAAGGGGTTTGGGGGTTAAAGGGGTTTGAGGGGCTTAAAGGGGGTTTGGGGGGCTTAAAGGGGTTTAGGGGGTTAAAGGGGGTTTGGGGGGTCCTGAGGGGGTTTGGGGGTCTTAAAGGGGCTTTGGGGGTCTTGAAGGGGTTTGGGGGTCCTGGATGAGATTTGGGGGTCCTGGGGGATTTGGGGGTCTTAGAGGGGTTTGGGGTGTTAAAGGGTTTGGGGGTCCTGGTGGGGGTATAGGGGGTCCTGAGGGGGCTTGGGGGTCCTGAGGGGCTTGGGGGTCCTGGAAGGGATTTGGGGGTCCTGGATGAATTTGGGGGTCCTGGGGGGTTTGGGGGTCCTGAGGGGTTTGGGGGGCCTGAAGGGGTTTAAGGGGTGTTAAAAGGGGTTGGGGGTCTTAAGGGGGTTGGGGGATCCTGGGAGGAGGTTTTGGGGGTCTTGAAGGGGCTTTGGGGGTCCTGGATGAATTTGGGGATCCTGGGGGTTTGGGGCTTCTGAGGGAGGTTGGGGGTCCTGAGGGGTTTGGGGGCCTAAAGGGGATTTGGGGGTCCTGGATGAATTTGGGGGTCCTGGAGGCTTTGGGGGTCCTAGGGGGGTTTGGGGAGTGACTTGGGGGATTTGGGGGTCATTTTGAGGGTTTTTGGGGAAATTTGGGAACTTTTTGAATTCTGAGGAAATTTCTGGGAATTCTTGGGAATTTTGGGAATCTCTGGGGAATTTGGTGCCTTGACCTCCTTTGGGGTCCCTGATGGATTTGGGGGTCCAGGGGGTTTGGGGGTGATTTTGGGGTATTTTGGGTCATTTTGAGGGGATTTTTGGGGGAAATTTGGGAAAATTTTGGGAATTTTTGAGGAATTTCTGGGAATTTTGGGGGAATTTCTGGGAATCCTGGGTGCTCTCTTGACCCCTTTGTATTTTCCTGGATGGATTTGGGGGTCCAGGGGCTTGGGGATGATTTTGGGGTATTTTGGGTCATTTTGAGGGGATTTTTGGGGAAATTTGGGAAAATTTTTGGAATTTTGAGGAAATTTCTGGGAATTTCTGGGAATTTCTGGGAATTCTGGTGCTCCTTGACCCCTTTTGGGGTCTTTGAGGGTCCCCTGGGTGGATTTGGGGGTCCAGGGGTTTGGGTGGTGATTTTGGGGTATTTTGGGTCATTTTGAGGGGATTTTTTGGGGGAAATTTTGGAATTTTTTTGAATTCTTGGGAATTTCTGGGAATTTTTGGGAATTTCTGGGAATTTTTGGGAATTTCTGGGAATTCTGGTGCTCCTTGACCCCTTTTGGGGTCTTTGAGGGTCCCCCTGGGTGGATTTGGGGGTGATTTTGGGGTATTTTGGGTCATTTTGAGGGGATTTCTGGGGGGAAATTTAGGAAAATTTTGGGAATTTTGAGGAAATTTTGGGAATTTTGAGGGAAATTTTGGGAATTTGAGGAATTTCTGGGAATTTCTGGGAATTCTGGTGCTCCTTGACCCCCTTTTGGGGTCTTTGAGGGTCCCCCTGGGTGGATTTGGGGGGTGATTTTGGGAGTGATTTTGGGGTATTTTGGGTCATTCTGAGGGGATTTTTTGGGGGAAATTTTTGGAAAATTTTGGGAATTTTGAGGAAATTTCTGGGAATTTTGGGGGAATTTCTGGGAATTCTGGTGCTCCTTGACCCCCTTTTTGGGGTCTTTGAGGTCGGTCTTGGGGGTCAGGGAGTTTGGGGGTGATTTTGGGGTATTTTGGGTCATTTTGAGGGATTTTTGGGGGGAAATTTGGGAAAATTTTGGGAATTTTGGGGAATTTTTGAGGAATTTCTTGGGAATTTCTGGGAATTTTTGAGGAATTTCTGGGAATTCTGGTGCTCCTTGACCCCCTTTTGGGGGTCCCTGATGGATTTGGGATGGTTGGGGGGTGATTTTGGGGGATTTTGGGTCATTTTGAGGGGATTTTGTTGGGGGAAATTTGGGAAAATTTTTGGAATTTTGAGGGAATTTTGGGAATTTTGGGAATTTTTGGGTAACTTCTGGGAATTCTGGTGCTCCTTGACCCCCTGTCCGGGTCCCTGAGGGTCCCCCTGCCCTCCCCGGGGTCGCCCGGGTGGCTTTGGGGCTCTGGAGCCCGACCTGAGCCTCGCCCCTCCCCCCCTGGGGGCCTCCCCACCCCCTGCCCTCCCCCCCACCGCCCGCCTGGAGCGACACGGGGACCCTCCTGGTGGAGTGAGACTGGGAGGCACTGGGAGGGACTGGGAGGGACTGGGAGGGGATTGAGGGGACTGGGAGGGATGGGAGGAACTGGGGGCACTGGGAGTGAACTGGGGGCACTGGGCGTGCACTGGGAGGGGACTGGGAGGACTGGGAGGGATTGGGGGCACTGGGAGGGACTGGGAGGGACTGGGATTGGACTGGGAGGATTGGGGGGGTTGAGGGAACTGGGATTGGATTGGAGGCACTGGGAGGACTGGGAGGGGATTAGGAGAAATTGGGAGGACTGGGAGGAGGGACTGGGAGGGATTGGGGGCACTGGGAGGGGACTGGGAGGGACTGGGAGGGATTGGGAGGGACTGGGAGGGGACTGGGAGGGACTGGGAGGGGATTGGGAGGCACTGGGAGGGACTGGGAGGGACTGGGAGGGATTGGGGGCACTGGGAGGGATTGGGAGGCACTGGGAGGGGATTGGGAGGACTGGGAGGGGATTGGGAGGACTGGGAGGGACTGGGAGGGACTGGGAGGGGATTGGGGGCACTGGGAGGGACTGGGAGGGACTGGGAGGGACTGGGAGAGACTGGGAGGAGACTGAGGGCTTGGGGGTTTGGAGGGAACTGGGATGGACTAGAGGCACTGGGAGGGACTGGGAGGGACTGGGATGGGATTGAGGGGCACTGGGAGGCACTGGGAGGGACTGAGGGGATTGGGGGACTGGGAGGGCACTGGGAGGCACTGGGAGGAACTGGGAGGGACTGGGAGGCACTGGGAGGGACTGGGAGGGGATTGGGGGGACTGGGAGGGACTGGGAGGGATTGGGAGAGATTGGGAGGGACTG